TCATACTCTAATCATACTTTAATTTTATTGTATGCGGTATGATACCATAAGGGTGGATACATGTCAGTGGGTGTTACATTCGTCCAAACCCACAGAAAGTGCAACACCAAGAGTGAGCCCTAATGGAAACTATGGACTCTGGGTGATAATGACGTGTCTGTGCAGGTTCATCAGTTGTAACAAATGTATCACGCTGGTGAAAGATGTGATCATGGGGGAGGCTATGTGTGTGTGGGGATTGGGTCTATGTGGGAAATCTCCATACCTTCCACTCAATTTTGCTGTGAACTGGAGACTGATCTAAAAAAACAACAACAACCACAAAGTCTATTTTAAAATTTGAAAAGCAGCTTACAAAACAATATGTTAAGACTTATTTCTGTTGAAGGCTGGGCAAGCTCACTGTGGTTGCCGGACTTGGGGGCAGGATCTGCCCTGCCTGGCCCCTCAGGAAAGGACATGAGGGTGTTTGGTATATATCCTGCAGATGAGGGGTTTCACAAGGCCTTGGAGGGGGAGCCACTGGGGTTGCCAAGAAGGGAGCCTAGGAGCCTGCTGTTGCTACAGCTATCTTGTCACCAGGAGGAGAGCTTGTCGAGAGAAAGAGGCAAAGCAGGGAAGCAGAACAGAGAAAGACAGAAAGTGAAAGTTAGAGACCAGATGACAAGGTTTGATTCTTTGGATCCAACTTGGCTTGAAGCTCGTCTATTCCTAGACTCTTCTGATAATAAATTCCTCCCCTGGCTTTCTGTTGCTTGTAACCAAAAGGGTCTGTGCTCCCTAAACACAAGCTCCCAGCTTGCTCACTTTGCAACGAGCCAGTCACTGGAGATGGATGATGGCACACATGTGGCTTGCCAGGCGTTATTTGGCAGCACTTGGAACCCTTCCTTGCAGTGGGTACCGTCAGCGTGACACATCGGGGAAGGGGCATCCTGGGCCTGCCCCCTTTCTGGGCCCGGGGCCTCAACTAAGGGTCCCCAGGGACAGAGGAGGCTCCTGCTTAGGGGTGCTTCTGCTTTACCTCTGCTTAAAATTCTCCCCTCCCCATGCTGCAGTGTCTGCCTCCTTAGCCTTCTCTGTGGCTTCCTTAAACACCTCCTCTTCTGAGAAGCCTTCCTTGACTACCTGGCTGAGGGAGACCATTCTGTCAAACAGAGCTTCTGTTTGCTCTGTGAGTGACTCCCTTCTAACCTCGATAAGGTCAGCACAGGGGCTGTGCCATTCACCGCTGTGTCCCCAGATCTTGGCAGAGTCTAGCAAAACAGTGGGAGTGTCATCAATCACTGTTTACCGAGAAAATGAGAATATGCACAGATAGATGGATACGGCTGGCAAGAGCCTATTCTGGGTGCAGACCATGAGAGTAGGGCTCTGTGCAGGGCCTCTTTGGGGGAGCAGTATTTTCTTGTTCATACCAGGGGCGCACAGTGACACCAACCAGAGGACATACTGCAGCTTCAGGTTTTGACTGAGACAGAATTTTCCTTCCAGTTGGGGGGTCTGACCTGAAATCAGGTATGAAGCCAGGAGCTGGAGCCTAGGTATCGCCTTCCAAGTGGGGTGTTGAAAGCCGAGGATGTCAGGGCGCCTGGGTGGCTCAGTCAGTTAAGTGTCTGCCTTTGGCTCAGGTCATGATCCCAGAGTCCTGGGATCGAGCCCCGCATTGGGCTCCCAGCTCAAGGGAGAGCCTGCTTCTCCCTCTCCCTCTGCTGCTCCCCCTGCTTATGCTGGCGCGCGCTCTCTCTCTCTTTGTCAAATAAATAAATAAAATCTTAAAAAGAAGAAAGAAAGAAAGAAAGCCGAGAATGTTAACAAAAGTCAAAATCAGGCCCACAACTGAGGAGCTGGAGAGCCAGCAGGGCTGAATACAGGGCTGGGGGTGGGGGACCAGGGCCACGGGCCCAGCAGCAGGGAGCAAGACCCAGATGGTAGGGGATAATGCACAGACAACATCGAACGATCCAGTCCACATGGTCAGAAACTTCTTTCCTCTTGCAGTATTGTCCAGTCCTTCTGAGTAAATCGAAGACAAGTCTCAACTTGGTGATGACGGGTCCTTAACACCTGTCTCTCTGTCTCTTTGAACAAAGAACCTCTGGCGGCCTCACCTTCAAGGCCTGTCGCAAAGGCCTGTGAGGTGTACTAACGGCAATAGGTTTCATTGTGAGGATTTTTAGAGCTACCTTCCTAATTATAGCAAGTGATTCTGATTCTGATTTTCCATCTAGAGCGGTAATCGGAAGTTTCTTTTTCAAAGAAATTTACATAAGCGAAAGGGGGACTGCTGAAAGGAAAATGGCAAGTGGATGATGGAACAGGTGGTGGCATTGTGGGGCCCCAAGGGGAGGGGGTGTGTGGCTGAGTGGGAGGATGCCAGGAAGGCAGCGCTTTGCTGAGTTGCTGCAGGAGGGACAGGAAGCATCTGGAGAGCCCCTGAGCAAGTACCCCTCCCCCACCAGCAGGTGGGATTGCAGCTCCCGGGCAGAGTTACAGCCAAGGGAACTTCCAGAGCGAGGGGCATGCTGGGGAGAGCCCACCCTGAACTGAGCCTCCTGGCTGGCCCTGGCCCAAGCTTCCAGACTGATACTGCGCCCCCAGGTCTTGCTGGGTGACCCCCAATGACCTCTTGGAATTCCAGCCCGGGATCATTCTGTCTGCCCTGCCTGCCAGACCGCGTCACTTGGATGTGGACACCCCAGGCCTGGTCCTAGAGCTGTCCCTGTCTCCCTGGGTGACCTTGAGGGAGTTCCTTCTCCAGGCCTGTTTCCCACCTAGAAACAGAGATGAGAGAAATGATCTTTAAGGGCCCTTTAAAGATGAGAGGACCAGGGACATATCCCTACCGCCTCCTCTCCTCTCTCCCCTCCAAAGTCGGGCTCAGTGGGAAAGGCACAGGCTGGGGGTCACACCGGCCTGAGTTTAATTTCCTGCTCTACCCATTGTGAGCTGTGGGACCTCGGGCAAGTCACTTCAGCCATCAGGGTGTCTGTGTCCTCATCGGTAAGATAGGATAAGAATATCTCCTGAGCAGAGCTGGGCCGGCAGTGATGAGGAAAGCCCGGGACACACAGCTGGGCTCCAATAGTGCTGGGGAGCTCTGGGTTTTCACACGCAGTGCCATCCTCCCATCCTGGCTTGGGGTCAGGCAAGAGACCCGCATCCCAGGCACATGGGCTCACCAGGTAACTTGACCCCAGCTAACAGGAGGCCTTCATGGGAACAAGCCCCCTCAGGCTTAGGGCCTGAGTGCCCAGAAGGGGGTTCCTGGACCTGGGTGAGGCTGGCACGGTGCTCCCACCTGGCGCTCCCTGGGTCCTGGATGGGGGCACGCGGACAGGAGGAAGCCTGGGAAGGGAGAAGACACCTCTCTGCTTGAAGTACTGTGCACCACACTGTATGTGTTCAGACCCCAAACCTTGCAGTTCGGATTTGAGGAGGAGATTCCCGCCCCTCACCTCGTGCCAAATTTGATTCCCGCCTTTCTTGATTGTCCCTTTCTCTGAAGCTGGTTTCTCCCACATCGACCCTTACGTGGAGAGCTACCTCTTTGCTCTCCCAGCTTCTTGCTGGAAACTCCTATTAAACTTCCCGGATTGGGCATTTTTTTCCTTCTGAGTGACTATTTGGGGCACCTGAGAGTCGAGGTGGCATTTTACATTTGATGAAATGACTTACACAATCAGGAAGGTCTTCTTTACCATTGCAAATAGAGTCACGGCCTTTTATTTTTCCACTGAACACTTTAATTTTCTCTATGCCCAGATTTTCAAGAGGTCCAACGTCTCGCACTCAAAGTGTCCTTCTCCTGCAGTAAATTGAGAGACCTGAGGCTTTCTTTGTCCCAAAGTGTCAGGCTGTTTCTCGCCTCCAGAGCAGAGCCTGATTGGGCCACTCCAGCTGCTGCCACACGGTGTCGCTGTTGAACACATTCTGGTGCAGTTTGGTGAAGGCCCCTTCCCTGCTACAGGGATCCCTTTGCTGAGCCTGGATCCCTGCAGGGGCCAAACTGGTGCCCCGCATGAGGATGCCAAGTTACAGGCTCTTTATTTCACCCTGATAAGCTCAGCCAGATGGTTTAGGTCTTCAGGGACTTCCAGCCTCAAGCACATATTGCCCCAAACCAGCCTGGACCATCGGCTTCAGGCCCGGTGTTGAACCTAGGTTATAGGTCCAGGCTCCCCCTCCACTCTGGGCTCCTGGTGTCCTTTCCTGATAGCAGACTTCAGTCAAGGGCATCCCAACCCATCAGAGGGGTTCCAAGAACATTGCTCCTCAAATGGGAAGGTGTTAAGCATTCAATCTCTGTTCTTCCCAGAGGCTGCACTGGGTATCATCCCCCACCTCCTTTGGGGGCTATGTCTATATAACTCAGGGAGCCTCGTCAAGGGCCAGGTGCCTTATAAATGAAAACCCACCTGGACACTGAGTTATAGCATCCTACCAGAGAATTGTTGGCAACTTCCTTTCCTAAAAATGCCTTGTTTCACAGAATCTTATGACAGGATGACGTTCTAGCCCAGTATCCTCCCACCTTTGAAAGGGTAACATACACCCCACCCCGGTGACAAGCTGGCCTTGAGGAGCCATGGGTGAGCTTTTGTTTTGCTGAGCCGGGTCTACAGGCTAAGAGAGAAGAGCTAGAAGAGTTAGGATGATGGTGGGGATCTTTGCAGGCAATGCCCAGGGAGGAGGAGCAGAGAGGAAAGACAGACAGCTGGTGGGGAGAGCTGCCTGGAGGAAGTGGGTTAAGCTTTGTCCAGGCCGTGCAATGTAAACCTCCCCTCCAGTGACGCCCCAAAGCATCAGGAAGCTGGATCTTACTGTCCGGCATTTTGGCAGCTGGGTTTGTGGTTTCCAGACGAGGTGAGCCTGGCATCAAAGGGACCCACGACGCAAGCAGAGGCTTCCGAGGAGCCCCGGGGAGCACCTCCGATCCACACAGATGGGGATGCGGAGGACCAGAGGAGGGGCTTGTCCGAGGTCACCCAGCAAGTTAGAGCCTCAAGTGGCTCCTCCCACTAAACACGACCCCCCCCCCCCAACAGCGCCGCGAGCCGCGGCCATCCGCAGTCTCTGGCCCGCCCGCCAGAGGGGCTCAGTACAGATATTCCCGGACCGTGAGCTCCTTCAGCGTGAAGCCCCAGGGGCTGGGCTTGCGGAGCTGGCTCTCCTGCAGCTTTTCCTGCAGAGACACGAAGTCCTTGCCCAGCGCGTAGGCCAGGCGGAGCATGGCGTCCAGCAGCGGGGCGTAGTAGCGGTGACCCTCCCGGGCCTGCAGGCACTGGAGCGCCCTCTCCCCGGCCGCGAACGCCTCGGCCGGCCGCTCCAGGTCCCGGTGGCAAACGAGCATGGCGCACAGCGCCGGGACCAGCATCACGGGGCAGTGGGCCGTCAGCTTCTCCTGCAGGGGCACCACGCGCACCAGGATGTCCAGGGCCCGGCCGTACTGCCCCCCGCGCAGGCAGCCGAACGCCTCCCGGAGCTCGGGGCGCGTGAGGAAGTCGATGAACTCGCGGGAGCGCCGCACGCAGCGGATGGCGTAGAGCAGGCTCAGGTACTCCTGGAAGGCCAGCTTGCGCTCGGAGATCATCTCCTCGGTGAAGTTGCCCATCAGGTGCTTCTTGGGGAAGACGATGTCTTCGATCTCTTCCCTGAACGTCTTGAGGAGGCTTTTCTGGAGCATCTCAAAGTCTGAATAGCGCCGTTCCAGCACGGCTTTGTTGCTGTCAAAACTCCCTGTCTGGATGACGACGATTTGGTACATCTGCAGTGGAGAGAGAGAGAGAGAGAGAGAGAGAGAGAGAGAGAGAGAGAGAGCGTTGACTACATCCTAATGGAAGGTTTTCCCCGGCAGATAAAAATAATGATGATGATCATTTAAAGCGGAGCCCGAAAATGGGTTACCGTTCCATGCAATTCCTTTTTTTTTTTTTTTAAAGATTTTATTTATTTATTTGACAGATAGAGAGCACAAGTAGGCAGAGAGGCAAGCAGAAGGAGAGGGAGAAGCAGACTCCCCGCTGAGCAGGGAGCCCGACGCGGGGCTCGATCCCGGGACTCCAGGATCATGACCCGAGCCAAAGGCAGTCGCTTAACCGACTGAGCCACCCAGGCGCCCCCCCCGTTCCATGCAATTCTGTTGTAAATTGCTACCAGCATTGGCTGAGCTGTACAAGCGATTGGTGACAAGAGGCCACGCGAGAGTAACAAACACAGCGGCACGGAGGCGGCTCGTGGGACTAGGAGCACAGAAGCAGGTGACGCAGGGCGCCTGGGGGTGCTCCGGACTTTCATCGTCAAAACTGGGCCTCGGGTTCCTGAACTGGGGAGCTTGGGTTCGGTCTGCGTTTCCCGAGCCGGCCACACGGGAGAGGTGGTTTTGGGTGGTATGCTCGCGGTGAAGGTCAATGGTAAGGAGATGATTGCTTTTCAGTTCTCTTGCAGTTAGAGAATACTAATGAGGGCTCAGGCTCCTTGGGTTATAATTCCAGCCCCGCCACGGTCTAGCTGTGTGGTCTTAGGTGGGTACTTGAACAGCAAGGGGCCTCAGTTTTCCCGTCCAGGAAATGAGGATAGTAATAGTACCCCCCTCGCTGGGTGAGGATGAAATGAGTTAACGCTCTGCAACCACGGGGGACTGGATTCAACTTGCAGTCAGCACTTAGCCCCCACTATTGCTATCCTGGTCCCAGTTAAGGGGCCAGGAGGGGAAAAAGGTTGAGCGTGGCTCCTACTTGGACCTGCACACCCCCACCGCCAAGGGCTCAAATTCCATTTTAACAGAGAGCAGCCCCCCAAGCCCAGAGCTTGCCGCCAGCCATGGCGTAACCAGCTAGAATCTAATGACAGCATTTAGCTTTCCTTGCCACTTATTTACTTTCAAGATTACCTTTTCTTTATGCTATGTGATACTGGTTTCCCTTTGAAAGATAGTGATTTTGTGTTTTTAAAAAAGCAATCAGATTTAAAGAAAAAGAGGTTAATTATTATCTATCATTATTTTATGCAATATATAATTATTATTAATAATATAAATGAGTGGGGATACCAAAAACTGTGGCGAAGGGACACAGCTGGCTAGTTCTGGCTGCCGTGGAATTCATCTGGGCTAGTTCCTTCTCAGGATCAGGGACCGTGACTCACTCCTCTCCAATTCGCACAGTGCTTAACACAATGCCCAGCGCAAAATCTTGCTTTCTGACCGTTGTCTCTGTTAGAACTCTGTCAGTCAAGCTGCGTCGGCCCATTTCATAGTGGGGCAAGTTGAGGCCCAGGGCCGGGAAGGAAGTGGTGAAAGGCTCGCCCTCCCTGTCTGATCTCAGCTTACCACAAACTTGGAGACTTTTCTCTCCTCGATGCGGGCGGACACGACCTCAAAGAGCAGCTTGACGCGTCTCCAGCAGCGCTTCTCCTTCCGCCAGTACTCCTGCAGCTCCCCGGTGGTCATGCTGGAGTTGGGGCTGGGGCCGCCGTGAGCGTCTGGAGGGACGGCACCCGTCAGCACTTGCACCAGGCCAGTGCACTTTGGGGACAAGGGTCTGGGGAGATGGCTGGGTCTGTTGGGGATGGGAAGTCCGAATCTGGAAGGGCCATGCCTTTCCCGCTCCCCGGCCCCGCCCACCCAGACTCCTGCGCCCCAAACCCCACTGCAGCCATCCCACCACCCGCAACCTGAAATAGCCCCGCATCCCCCAGCAAGTTTCTCCATCGGGAAATGCCGCACGTGTGTGTCGCACCAGCCACCTCCGGCCTGCAGACTGGCCACTGTGAGACCCATGCTCCTGAGAAGCAGGGATGGTGACTGTTCCTTTCTATACTCCCTAGGGCACTGACACGGTGTCCTCGCCCGGTGGGGGGGGGGGGGGGGGGGCGGGAGCCTGAGCACAGGCCTCAGCGACCAGTGGAGGGAGCCATTGAGGATGTTGGGCTCCAGGCTCAGCCTGGTGGGCCCCTCCCCACTGTCTCATCTCCTTTCCCACGTTCCCTGCTTTTGTTTGCACGTGCTACGCCTTCTGCCTTAAATGCAACTCTCCTATTTCCCTACCTGGAAAACTCACAGCGTCTCTTAGCCCTCAGGTGCCCCGGGGGCCATTCTGATCATCTCGGGAAAGATTAGAATCCTTCCCCACCAAAATGCACCAATCATTGTGCATTTTATTTCAAAGGATGTGGGGCCCCCCGGGGGGGCGGGGTGTCCCTTCTCCGTGGTGTCTTTCAAGACCCAGCACACATGTCACTTCGACTGTCCCCTCGCATTAGAGTGAGAGCCTCCCACCTTTTCCCTACAGCCTTTCTGGTGACATCTCGAATTATTTTTCACAGATCTGTTTCCCCACCAACCTTGAGGGCCAGCAGTGTTGGATTGGTTCCTGTTTCCCCCCGGGGCCAAGGACAGAGCAGGCATAGGCTCGGACTGAACCACCGCATGAATGAGCAAATTTTGCTCCAGGAGATGGCGCTGGGGTGCACACAGCGGGGGGCTGGGCTGCTTTGCACTCAGTGCTCTGCAATGTGTCGTCCCCCCCCACCCCCCCCCCCCCCCCCGGCTTCCTACTAGAGGCACCTAGGGCTCTCACACAGGGGGCTTTCTTGAGCTAAAGCAGCCTGTTCTGGAGCTGGATGAAGGATGGGACTGGCGGGCTGGTGGGTAGTAGCCTGGCCTCCTGGCCTCCTGGATGGGACAACTCTGAGATACGTTCCTACGGCTTGCAGAAGACCCCCGCTGGGACTGAGCCCAGTTGCCCGCAGCAGTAATCAACACCTTACTGGCTTCCTGCCCTTTCTTTCCTCGATGTACCCTTATGATTCCTGGGACCTTCTCCCAGAAAAACAACAGGCACCAAGTTCTTGTGCCAAGTTGAGAAAGCTACCCCCTCTCCCATGGCACCTGTTGAAGTACCCAATGTTTGGATTCTGAATATCTTCAAACCTCTATCTCTGACCAAGCCCCAAACCCACCTAAGTGCCCTTCGGGTCCTGGACACGGGAGGTCTCGGCCAGCGGCTGATGCTTCCTGCTTGGTCCCAGCCGTGCACTTGGCTATGGGTCCCGTCCATCCAGGGCACCCCGGGTGCTTGGGACTTGCCATGCTCCAAGGCTGCCAGGGGGGCAAGAGACAACAGTGATTTCCCGCTCACGTTGGGGTTCCTGGTGGGTCCTGGGGTGCTAGGATCTGTGTCATAGTCCCCATGGCTGAGCCCTCCCCTGCCCACCTAGCTGTCCGCCCAGCTGTCACATGCGAGGCTTGGGTCTGCTGCCCCTTGGCTGGATTGATCAGTCCGAGGCCTTCTCTTATTGTTACAATGCTTCTATGATCAAGTTCTCTGAATTTTAAATGCCGTGATTTCAAGCCAAGGTAGTGGCTTTCAGGATTACTTGGGAGAAAGATGCCGGCTTGTCCTGAAGAACATTCCAATACTCCATTTATGTTCCACGTGTAAATAAAATCTCAGTGCCCAAAGTAGGGGTCCAGGGATGTATCCTTCCCATCTCTCTCTCCCTCTCTAAGCAAACACTTACTGACGACTTGTGGAACACACTTCATAGACACCTAGGTTCTTCACATCCACTTATTTCAGGCCCACAAAAATCTTTCGTGACTCCCAATCACAGAAGAGGAAACTGAGGTTTAGCTCACGGTGACGTGGCTGGTGAGCCTGGCCCACAAGCAAAGCCGAATGTCTGTGACGGGTCAGTTTGTACGCTCTGCCTTCAACACCCACTCGCTCACGTAACTGACTCCATGTGCAGAAGGAGTCTTACCTCCATCTTACGATAAAGGAACCAAGACTTGGGGCTACCCATGATCCGAAGGCTAGTAGGTGAAGCACAAGGATGCAGGTGGAACCCCTCCTCGGGGCCAGGGGAGGGCAAGCAGCAGGAGGGCCGGGGCTATTTTATGCAGTAACTCTGTGACCCAGATCCGTGAACGAGAGGACCTGGTGCCTGCAATTCTCTGTGCCTCAGTTTCCCATAAGATGGGTATAAGAACGGAACCTGCCTTCACGGGGCTGGCGTGACGGTTCCAAGTTGGGGAGACCGTGCTCAGGGCTCTGCACACACCAGGCGCTGTATAATAGTCTCTGCTATTGATATTGGACACCTGATAATACTTGGAGAAATATTTGAAAATCAGTGATTCTAAATTAAGGTGTAAATTGGAATAGACAAATTAGAAACGGGATGATGAGAATATTAGCTCAGATGGAGCGAGTAGCTGGAGCACCCCTTTGGCACAGAAATCTGCAATCAGAAGGGTGCAAGCGATCTTACGTCCTTCTTCACTCGATCCGAGGGAGGAGCTGCAAGGGGCACACGGGGCAGAGCTGGGACGCGAACTCTGGTCTGCCGGGTCTGCTGCATTCCCGGCCCCGTGTCTGAACCCTTCTGCTGACTATGGCCTAGAGGGTGTGGGATTACTGCTGCCGTAACAGAGTCCCAGCTCTGTCCCTGGGTGTGACTGAGCCCATCCCACCTCCAGGGCTGAGGGGTCCCCTGGACAGGCCTGGCTTGGGGAGAGCTGAGGTCAGCGGGGGCCAGGGTGCCTCCTTCGGGGGGCAGCTCTTGCTGGCTCAGGTGAAAGGAACCCTGGGCCATTCTCCAGGTGGTTCTGTGCCATTGCCCAGCGCGTGTCTCCCCGGGAACCTCCGTCCAACCTTACTTTATATAGATGGGGAAACTGAGGCACAGAGCAAGGGCATGGCTGGCCCAGGGCTGCACACACTTGAGCCCGCTAGAGCCTGCACACCTCGTTTCTGCTTCTCTCCTTAAGAAGTCAGGCCTTCCATCCTGACCAACTGTGGGTCCGTATGCAAGTTATTTAGTATCTCCAGGCCTTGGTGTCCCCACCTGAGAAGTGTGGTCTCAAGCTCTGTCCTGCCGACAAGACAGTGGTTGGTAGGGGACAAGTTCTCTATATCCTGATAGGTGCCCTGGCAAGGTGGTGAGTGGTCTGCATGCTCTATTACATAGTGGACTCTGGGTGGCCAGGGTTCTTGGAAGCCCAGTGTTTCCTGTGGGCACTCCTATGTCCCTGCCTCAGTTAGCTCATCTGTAGAATGGGTGATGGCAAGCCTCAGTTGTCCCAGCCCTTCCAGCTCTGCTGTCCTGTTCAGGCGGCTGGTGCCAGGTCAGAAGCAGGGCACAGTTCTCCCAGAGACCCTGTGAGACCCCAGGAATCATGGCCTTGGCTGGATGTACCAGTAAAGACCTGGGAGAGCTGAGTATGAACCCAGGGCTTTGAATAAAAATCAAATTCAGCAGCCAAAGCCAGTTCCCTTATGTTTTCTCCTACAGGGTTGTTTGGGAGTCACCATGAGGGGAGTGAAAAGGAGAAAGTCATGCACTGGTGCCTGCATGGAGACTTGGCCATCTTCCTGTTCCTCTCTAGGCCTCAGTCTCCTCATCTGTGAAATGGGGAAAACAGCCTGTCACTCCAAAAGCTCTTCGGGGATAATGACACATGGGGTTCCATGGGTACTTCTCTCCCCTCCCATACCCTGTATAGCAAAGATTTCTAGATTTGACAAGAAAATCCTGCAAATGTTGGTGCTCTTGGGTGCGGGTCCTGTGCTCAGCCCAGGAGACAGAGCAGCTTCCCAGCCCCCTCCCCATCCAGCCCAGCCCCCTCCCCCTCCAGCTGTGTGTGTGTGCAAACATTCTGCTCCTTCCCCTCCCAGGCCCTGAGCACCACTCTTCCCTCTGAGGGCTGCCCCCCATGGCCAGGCCTTCTGATGGCTACACTGGGCTACATTCTGAGCCCATGCTATCTTCCTGAGGGGGCTGCAGAGGACTTTCCATCGGACTGAGACACTGGGTGGGCACACTCACATTTGGGAATCCCCCAGGGGGATGGGGGTGCTGGGAGATTGTAACAAGCAGGTTTCCTGGCTCTTGACATCAGAGAGTGCCATCTGGCAGGTCTGGGGATGGGCCCTGGATTCTGCCTGTTGCACTGGTCCCCCGGAGCTATACTGACACTGGAGTTCTCTGGCACCAATTTTTGAGAAATACCGGTGTGATGACTTATTCCCCAGCCTCAAGAGGGGTCGTCGAAGTATCTCAAAAGAATTGAGGTGATGGAGGGTCAGGAAGCTGCTTCCTGCTCTACCCCAATGAGCTAAGGAGAGCCCTACACTTAGAGGCTGTCACCAACCCTTCCCTACCCCGCCCTGCCCCCAACAGGTAGTGAGGGAGGGCCACAGGGAGAGGGGACTCAGACCACGGGGTGGGGGCGGGCAGAGACTCACTGAGGTTGGGATCAAACACTGACCTGAAGCTTCTCTGGCCCTGTGTGGGTCCAGGGGTCCCGGAAGAGTATCACATGGCCGTCTTCAGCTCCCCTCTGTTCCAGGCTCCAGCGAGCTGCAGCTTCTAAGTTCCCCGTTTGAAAACAGGAAATAGGCTGTGTGACCCGCTCTTGGTGCCCCAGCCCATTGGCTGATGACAGACAGTACGTTGAACCCTGCTGACGGGGTCCCACAGGGCAGGGGCAGGGCAGAACAGGGCAAGGCAGGACCAGGCCCCGAGAGCCCTAGTTCTGAGGGATCCAGTTGGGCCTCACACAGCCTTGCAGCTAGCTTGGCTGTCCCTCAGAGTCCCAGATAATCTCTGGCATCCCAACAGTATCCCCCATCCCTCTTTAACATTCATTATTCTCCCCTATGAGCTAGGCCTGATGGGGGCCCTCATGCTTCACTGACAAGTGGGGAAACTGAGGTTTGGAGTACAGAGCCAGTGCCTCACGTGGAAGGGAAATGGGGTAAGCTCTCAGTTCCATTTGGTGCCTTTCTCTGAGCAAAACTGCATCCAGTTCTCCCAACAGAAAGTACCGGGGAAGTCAGACCTCTGGGCTGTGATGTGATTCATGGCCACTAGTATTTGTGACCTTGAGGACAGGAGACTGGGACAAAACAACAAAAAAAATAGATAGCCCCCAAGAAGGCCACCATGTGTCTCTTCTCAGCTATGATCCCCTTCTTCCCCATTAGAGGCAGTCCCACTCCGAATTCTGACTGGGGTCACTTCTCTGCTTTTCTTTGTAAATTTACGATCTTTGAATAGACCCCGAAACAATAGAGCTTAATTTTCCCTATCTTGGAATTTTATAAAATTGAACCACGCATAGTGTTTGTATGCTTTGGTGTCTTGCTTCCTTTGTTCAACATTTCTGTGTATAAGATTCATCAATTTGTATGTGTGTGTAGCTAGAGTTTTTTCATTTTTGTTGTTGTGTTGCTACATTATTTGAATACATCATTATTTCTCCTTTTTTCTTTTTTTTTTTGGTCTGTGAATGCACTTTTGGGTTGTTTCTAGTTTGGGCCATTGTGATCAATGCTGCTGGGAATATTCTTCTACGTTTATCCAAGTGCACATGTTTATGTAAGGTGAAATCCCTGGGTCTTAGAGTATGAATTGCTGAATAGCTTTCAACTCTCCTGGATTATGGCAAAGGTTTCCTCCCGTGGCTGTGTTTCTGTGCTCCCACCCACCGCCACAGTGCCTGTGAGTTCTAGGTGTTCCACAACCCCACCTACACTGGATGTGGTCAGTATTTTTTTATTGTAGTCATTCTAGTGGGTGTGTAGTGACGTCTCATTATGGTTTTAAGTTGCATTTCCCTAATAAGGAGTGATGTAGAGTATCTTTTCATGGGCTTAGTTTCAATCTTTATATCCTCTGTTCAAGTCCATTGCTCATTTTTATTTTTTTTATTTTTTTTATTTTTTATTGTTATGTTAATCACCATACATTAGATCATTAGTTTTAGATATAGTGTTCCATGATTCATTGTTTGCGCATAACACCCAGTGCTCCATGCAGAACGTGCCCTCTTTAATACCCATCACCAGGCTAACCCATCCTCCCACCCCCCTCCCCTCTAGAACCCTCAGTCTGTTTTTCAGAGTCCATCGTCTCTCATGGTTCGTCTCCCCCTCCGATTTCCCCCCTTCATTCTTCCCCTCCTGCCATCTTCTTCTTCTTCTTCTTTTTTTTTTTCCACTTGGGTCTTTTTTTTTCTTAACATATACTGCACTATTTGCTTCAGAGGTACAGATCTGAGATTCAACAGTCTTCCACAATTCACTGCGCTTACGAGAGCACATACCCTCCCCAGTGTCTATCACCCAGTCACCCCATCCCTCCCACCCCACCCCCCACTCCAGCAACCCTCAGTTTGTTTCCTGAGATTAAGAATTCCTCATATCAGTGAGGTCATATGATACATGTCTTTCTCTGATTGACTTATTTCGCTCAACATAATACCCTCCAGTTCCATCCACGTCGTTGCAAATGGCAAGATCTCATTCCTTTTAATGGCTGCATAATATTCCATTGTATATATATATATACCATATCTTCTTTATCCATTCATCTGTCGATGGACATCTTGGCTCTTTCCACAGTTTGGCTATTGTGGTAAATCCATTGCTCATTTTTTAAAAATATCTAAATGATTAATTAATTTAGGGGAGTGGGGCAGAGGGAGAGAGAGAGAATCTCAAGCAGACTCCATGCTGAGTGTAGAGCCTGATGCAGGGCTGGATCTCACAACCCTGAGATCATGCCCTGAGCTGAAACCAAGAGTGGGACTCTTCACCAACTGAGCGCCCCCCTCCCCTTGCTCATTGCTTATTTTCTTCATGGTTTGTAAGGTCTTTGTGGTTTTCAGTATTCTTTCCCATCCTGTGGTTTGCATTGCACTCTCTAAATAGGGTCTTTGGATGAATAGAAATTGCCAACTTGAAAGTATTCAACCATATCAGTCTTGACTTTCACAGCCCATGTCATACCTTAAGAGAGAGATTAAGGAGAGATTTCTCTTCTTTTGTTCTTTCTCGTTGCTTCTGCAACCACTTGGCAAGCCACTGAGTGGCTTCTGCTGAGTCACAATGTGCAAAGCCCTTAGAACAATGCTGGTCCCTAGCAAGCACTGAAAAAGGTGCTGGCAATTCCTGCTGTTTCTCAACACCTTTCTAGTGTGCCTTTCTCATTTGGGGTTCTCCAATGCCTGTAGAGTAGATGTTCGTGTATGGCGTGAGGTAGGGAGGCCCAGTGCTTTTCCCTCCACGTTTACCGGCCTTGTTTACTGAAATGGCCATCCAATCCCACAGCTCGGCAGTGTGGTCGCTGTGAGAAGGGTATCGGCGTATGTCAGGGTCTGGGGTGTCCAGGGGGAGTGGCCTGAACGGTGTGCCTCTGGCCCGCAAGCCCGTGTGCAGGGACCGACCCTCACTCACCTCTGCCCCCCACCGCCCCACAGAGGGCCTGGCATGGCCGGGGTGGGGGGGGGTGCTGGGGGGTGGGGGTGGGGAACGCTTCCTCTGTGTCGAGCGTCGCTGGAAGTCCTTCTCCCATCTGCCTGGGCCTAGAGTCTTCGAGCCTCTCATGAGGCAGCCAGCGGATAGGGGGAGGGGTGTGTGGAAGCTACTGCTTCCTCTTCTGGGTGAAGGAGGTGTTCTCTGGAAAGTCCCCAACACGCAAGGGTGTCTGGCTGCCGTGGAAGGGACCTAGCTGGACCAGAGTGGCCATGGCGGGCCCCTTACCGGGTGTCGGCTCTTCTGTGCTGCACAGAGCTGTGTGTTTTAGGTAAAGGGCAGGCGAGGCCCCGCTGACATGGGGGGCACAGACTGGGTGTCCCCCCACTGCTGGGCTGACCCCAGAGCCTGAGGAGTGGGCACCAAAGGGAAATGCTGGTGTCTCAGAGTCTGGGTGTCTCTTCTAGAATTCAGACGGCTTGGACCTTTCAGTGACTTCCTCCCTCAGGCAGAGTAGGTTCAACCTCTGTCCGGAGGCCTCCGGACCTGCCCCTTGCTGGTTTCCTGACCTCGTCTCGCCCGGTGCCACTCCCAGACTTGCCACACGCCAGCCCGCCCGGACCGCGCTCTCCCCGCAGCCTGCCTCGTGGCCTGTCCTCGCGGTCCCTTCAGCCAGCAACGGCCCTCTCCTGGTTCTTTCCACAACTGGCTCTTTCTCATCCCACAGCTCGGTTGTCTCTCCCTGGCGTGGCCCTCCGTGACCCCTCTGTTAAGACCTACCATTGTTTTGCTTCTTTGTTTACTTGTTTATTGCCAGTCTCAAAGGCCATGATGACGGGGTCTTTCCTGTGTCAGCATTCTGTCCCCAGTGCCGACCCCAGCGCCTGCCACGTAGTGGGTGTTCGGCAATTGTGTGAGGCACGAGTGAGTGGGTGGGTGAGGAGCAGGGGCGATTGGATCCATGACTCAGCCGTGTGACCTCGGCAGGCCACCGCCCCTCTCTGAATCTGCTTTCCCTAATTGCAACGTGAGACTAACTGAAGGATCCTTCTAGTATCACTGGGCAAGTAACTGAGTGTTGGCCAATGCCGCTCACCACTGAAACCTCTGGGTATCTGACGAGCTCGAGACTCCAACACTGACATACCCCCTTCGATAGAGGTGTGTCCGCACAAGTGTGGCAAAGAAAACCCAAACAGATGAGGTGTTCATAGGTGATGTAAAATCTGGTCATGTCAATCTTGTTTTTCCACAGCTGGGTGGACACACATAAACCTTTTAAAACTCTCAAAGGTTCTGGGGCGCCTGGGTGGCTCAGTCGGTTGAGCATCCGACTCTTGGTTTCAGCTCAGGTCGTGATCTCAGGGTCGTGAGATTGAGCACCATGTCAGGCTCTGCACTCAGCTCAGGGTCTGTTTGAAATTCTCTCTCCCTCTCCTTCTCCCCCACCCCCCATTCACACGGGCTCTCTCTCTAAAAAAAAAAAAAAAAAAAAAACTCTCAAAGTTTCTACTACCATATGATCCAGCAATTCCACTTCTGGGTATTTATCTGAAGACAATGAAAACACGAATTTGACAAAAGATCTGCATCCCATGTTCATTGTAGCATTATTTACCACAGCCAAGACATGGAAACAACCTAACTGTCTGTGGATGGAGGAATGGGTAAAGAAAATGTGGGATCTGGATACAATGCAATATTATTCAGCCACAAAAAAGAATGAGATATTGCTATTTGCAACAACATGAGTGGACCTTTCACATGCTATGTGGAAAAGATCAGGCAAACACTGGGCGATCTCTTATATGTGAAATTAATACTGGAAAAAAAGCTCATAGATACAGAGAATGGATTGGTGGGGGTGTGTGTGAAATTGGTGAAGGGGGTCAAAAGGTACAAATTTCCAGTTATAAAATAAATAAAGCATGAGGATATAAAGTACAGCATGATGACTGCAGTTAATAATACTATATCATACACTGGGAAGTTGTTAAGAGAGTAGATCTTAAAAGTTCTCATCACAAGAAAAACAATTCTTTCACTATGTTCTATGATTAGACTTATTGTCATCATCATTTCATAATACATACAAACACTGAGTCATTATGTTGTGCACCTGAACCT